GGCAAATTAATAACGTTTGGCAAAGTTTTTCTTGATAGATAATTAAATGGGGTATATTTAACAATTACTTTTACGTCATATTTCACCAAAGTATATCATTTTGCCCTGCAAAGGAGCAGTACCGCAATTATCGTGCAAAGGTCTATTAACAATGGAGTGCCCTCAAGCGGCATATTAGGTCATAAATCAAGAACGATAACAGAAATTCACTAATATTGGAAGTAATCATCGGGGTAGTAAACGCTAGACTCACAATTTTCCAAACTTTTAAAATTTAAAATTGTAATTTTTAAATAGCTGATTTCGTTGTTCATTATCACTTAATTTCTCTCATAATGTTTGCTGTTTTAATTTTTTAAGGTTTCAATATCCATACCGTTGTATGGATTTGTACTATCCATGCTCGTAATATTTTCCTCAATATATTGCCTATTAAATTAGAACAAGCCTGGACATTTCCAAATCATTGAATATATGTAATACATATGTCCTGATGCATAACCATGTGAAGTTTCAAGTCGATTCTCAAACAATGACTTATCACAAAAATTTGATTTTGCCTGATTCTTAGGTGGACCTGTACTTAATTGATAGTTCTCATATGCACCTTAATACTTTCTGATTGTTTATATATTTGTAAAAATGTTGGCAATGAAATGAATCAATGTATTTGAAGTAATCTTTGTCTTTTTGAACATTACTTGATAAAGAATCCAACAATAACAGGATGGTGGCAGTATATAAAGGAGATGGGCGAACATAGCGTGCAGAAAGCCTATAGCTTCAGATATATAAAAAGCATGTTCAGTTTGTGAATTTAATATTTAGAGTAAAGTTCTCATTATTGAAATTTATGAAATTGTGATAAACAAAACTTTTCTGAGGAAAATTTTCTCGGAAAAATTTATGCTTTTATTAAAAAAATTAATGTGGTATTCGTGGGGTTCGAACCCTAGCAATAAAAATCCTGAGTATCATTTTCTTTCGAGACTAGCACGCTAACCACTAGACTACACAAGTCCTGACGAACAGTGGCATTTAAATCATGTTTGTGATATGACCCTTGACTTAATGGACTTCAAGTATTTCTCGAAAAGATGCGAATCGTATGTCATAAAAGTATATTTTTAAGGTATAGTGGGTTATTGCTCCATATTTTTGGTAACCAAAAAATGTATATTTTTAGCTCTTCTGAGCCAAAGGCTCAAAGAGCTAATGCTATGACCATTTGTGCGGTGTGCGTAAACTTTTTAGAATATGGGCCATAACTCAAGAACCCCTTGGCCAATTATTGTCAAATTTGTCACAGGGTATCCTTGACCCAAGGGCTCCCTTTTATACTAAAACTGGGGTTGTGACCCTTTAACAAGGGGAGATAATTAGGAAAATAGAAAAAAAAAGTACTGGTTGCTAAAAAATCTTCTTCTCTAGAACCACTGGGCAGATTATCACCAAACTTACACAAAAGGATGAGGATATGTTGTAGATTAAAATTTGCACGGGGATTTACCCTGGGGCAAAGGGCGTGGTCTCAAGGTCACTTCAAAGTTGACCAAAAATTACATTTTATTAAAATGTTGATATTTTGCTTACTATAAGGACTAGGATCATCAAATCTTTTCCAGTTGGTGCATCTAAGGACGTCATATCATGTTGACTCAAAAGTAGGTCACGGTGACCTACTTTTTAAATTTTGCGGCCATTCTTTTTCAAAATGATTTAGAGGCATATTTTGAACAATTTAAGGCCTATGATCATCAAACTTTGTCAGTTGATGCATCTTGGGTCCTCAAAGTACGTCAACTAAAAAGTAGGTCACCTTGACCTACTTTTTGAATTTTATGGCTAATCTTTTTTAAAACAATTAAGGTCATTAATTCGAATACGGGGAGGCTTAGAATCATTAAATCTTGTAAGATGATGCATCTTGGGGCCATAAAACATATTTATTAAAAGGTAGGTCACAGTGACCTACTTTTTGAACTTTGCAGGCATTCGATTTCAAAGCGTTTTAGAGGCATAATTTGGACATTTTAAGTCCTATGATCATAAAACTTTGTAAGTTGATGCATCTTGAATCCTCAAAAAAGGTCAACTGAAAAGTAGGTCACTGTGACCTACTTTTCAATTTATATGACTATAATTAAATATTTCAGGTACTAATGGGCTTAGAATCATCAAACTTTGTCAGTTGATGCATCTTGGGTCTTCGGAGTAGGTCGACTAAAAAGTAGGTCACAGTGACCTACTTTTGAAAATTTATGGCGTTAATTAAATATTTCAGGTACTAATTGGCTTAGAATCATCAAACTTTGTCAGTTGATGCATCTTGGGTCTTCGGAGTAGGTCGACTAAAAAGTAGGTCACAGTGACCTACTTTTGAAAATTTATGGCAATAATTAAATATTTCGGGTACTAATTGGCTTAGAATCATCAAACTTTGTCAGTTGATGCATCTTGGGTCTTCAGAGTAGATCGACTAAAAGTAGGTCACCGTGACCTACTTTTGAAAATTTATGGCTTTAATTAAATATTTCGGGTACTAATTGGCTTAGAATCATCAAACTTTGTCAGTTGATGCGTCATGGGTCTTCGGAGTAGGTCGACTAAAAAGTAGGTCACCGTGACATACTTTTGAAAATTTAAGGCGATAATTAAATATTTCGGGTATTAATTGGCTTAGAATCATCAAACTTTGTCAGTTGATGCATCTTGGGTCTTCAGAGTAGATTGACTAAAAAGTAGGTCACCGTGACCTACTTTTGAAAATTTAGGGCTTTAATTAAATATTTCGGGTACTAATTGGCTTAGAATTGTCAAACTTTGTCAGTTGATGCATCATGGGTCTTCGGAGTAGGTCGACTAAAAAGTAGGTCACATTGACCTTCTTTCGGAAAATTTATGGCTTTAATAAAATATTTCGGGTACTAATTAGCTTAGAATCATAAAACTTTGTCAGTTAAGGCGTCATGGGTCCTCGGAGTACAACAACTGAAAAGTAGGTCACTGTGACCTACTTTTGAAAATTTATGGCTTTAATCAAATATTTCGGGTACTAATTGGCTTAGAATCATTAAACTTTGTCAGTTGATGCGTCTTGGGTCCTCGGAGTACAACAACTGAAAAGTAGGTCACGGTGACCTACTTTTGAAATTTTATGGCTGTATTTAATATTTTCAGGAATTATTTGGCTTAGAATCGTCAAAATTTGTCAGTTGATGCATCTTTGGTCCTCGGAGTAGGTTGACTGAAAAGTAGGTCACTGTGACCTACTTTTGAAAATTTATGGCTGTAATTAAATATTTTGGGTACTTATTGGCTAGAATCATCAAACTTTGTCAGTCGATGTATCTTTGGTCCTCGGAGTACAGCAACTGAAAAGTAGGTCACGGTGACCTACTTTTGAAAATTTATGGCTTTAATTAAATATTACAGGTACTAATTGGCTTAGAATCATCAAACTTTGTCAGTTGATGCATCTTGGGTCCTTGGAGTAAAACAATTGAAAAGTAGGTCACTTTGACCTACTTATAAAATTTTATGATTATAATTTTAAAAAATATTTTAGGTATTAATTGGCTTAGAATCATCAAACTTAGTTGATGGGTCCTCGGAGAATGACAAGTGATAAGTAGGTCACCATGACCAACTCTCAGGTACTAATTGGCTTAGAATCATCTTGGGTTCTCAGAGTGTGAATTGGAATTTCAAGGGTTTATGTAAATATACAGGATACTTTGAGGCTTCAAATAGAAGTGATAGGTTGTACAGTTTATCAGAAGAGCGATTCAAGGCCCATGGGCCTCTTGTTATGTAAACTTTGAGAATTAACTTTCAAAAAGGTGGAGCGAAGACCCACTCATATCGAAAAATAGTGTTATAGTATGCGAAAATGACTCTTTTTGCCCGCTTTAGTGTATGTCTAATATTTCACAGGCAAATACTTTCAATCTTTGAGGGATTTTTGCAAATTGTAGAGATTTTACATAAAGTATATTTTAATGTTAGACGAAATATCAAGGAAAATTTTGATGTAATTGAAATTTAATTTTTCATCTTCATGTTGTCACACTATAGGCTTATCGCTCGTCATGTTCACCCATCTCCTTATCTATATTTTATCAAAAATGATACATATGTGCCACAATCATGCATTAATTAGGAGAGACAGAGAAAATGATTGAAGGTGTAAATTCTCCATAAACATTAGGACTGTGCAACAAGGCACTGGAATGCACATTATCCCAAGCTAAGGGGGATGTCCTATTAACATGTACAATGTCCTGGCCTAGCAGTTGTGATTTACTTGTTATAGCTGGTGTGTTTTATCAGGAATGTTGTCTAATGACCATTTTTATGTAACAGTTGTCCTTTGTTCCAAGGTCAGTTATGTAGGTTGATGTTGTGTCTTGAATACAGATTTATCAGTACTTGTATATTTCAAAGACTGTTCTTGGCAAAGGCATTCAGTGATATCATAGTAAAATGGTATTTGCTGAAGTCAACAAATTGTGTGAGAAAACAATAAGGAGCATTTCTACACAGAACTGGTCAATATTATGGATTAATGCATAGCAGTATGTACAGCTATAATTAGATTCATTCAGAAATTTGAACTTAATTTACTTACTTATATTTGTAAGAAAGCCCATGTATGTTCATCATTGTCAATCAATCATGTGCAAAATAAACTTAAATAGAGTGTATTCATTTTTGACTTCAATCCATTAAAAAAAATCTGTGACCATTCCTTATTCTGTACCTTTCATTGATTGATCACCATTCTAATAATTTACTTTCATCATATTTTCATGATTCTGCCATGAAAATACTGAAAGTAAAAGAAAAACTGTCATGAAAAATAAGGCTATAAATAAAATAATTTATGAGAAAGAGAGAGATTATAATTCACACATATATGCTTATGGGGACATATTCAGAAACAATAAAGAAAACCACAAAAATCCTTTAATGATAATGTCAAATGATTGTTCTTTTAGAGAAGTGCCAATCTGTGGTGTGTCCATGGATTCAGGACTATTTTCCCGTTTGTCCGAAAGACAGTCACTTGTTACCAAGTGTTCAAAGTAAAGATGGTTGCTGCCTAGAACCTCCAGGGTAAGTGGTCATTTTTCTTTTTTAGCTCTTCTGAGCCAAGGGATCAAAGAGCTAATGCTATGGCTATTTGTGTGGTTGTGCTGTGTGCGTAAACTTTTTGGATTTTTTGGGCCATATCTCAAGAACCCCTTAGCCATTTTTTTCAAATTTGTCACAGAGTGTCCTTGGCCCAAGGGCTTTCATTTTTACTAAAACTAGGGATGTGTCCCTTAAACAAGGGGAGATAATTAGCATGTTGTAGATTAAAATTTGCACAGGGAATCACCCTGGGGCAAAGGGCATGGTCTCAAGATCACTTCAAAGTTGACCAAAATTTACGTTTTGTTTAATCCTTTGTATTTTGCCCACTATAAGGCCTAGGATCATCAAATCTTGTCAGTTGATGCATCTTCCGACCTCATATTGTTGACTCAAAAGTAGGTCACAGTGACCTACTTTTATAATTTTGCAGGTATTCATTTTCATTTTAATTTTGATGCATAACTTGATACTTTGAAGCCTATGATCATCAAAACTTGTCAGTTTATGCATCATGGGACCTTGAAATGTGTCAACCAAAAAGTAGGTCACTGTGACTTACTTTCTGAATTTTATGGCTTTTCATTTTCTAAACTTTATAAAGGCCATTATTTCAGATACTAAGAGGTTTAGAATCATCAAACCTTGTAAGTTGATACACCTAGGGGCCTTAAAACAGATTTATCAAAAAGTAGGTCACAGTGACCTACTTTTGGAATTTTACAGGTATTCATTTTCAAATTGTTTTAGAGGCATATTTTGGACACTTTGAAGTGTAGGATCATCAAACTTAGTCAGTTGAAGCATCTTGAGTCCTCGGAGTGTGTCAACTAAAAAATAGGTCACCTTCACCAACTTTTGCAATTTCATGGCTTAATTTAAATATTTCATATACTAATTGGCTTGGAATTATCAAACTTTGTCAGTTGATGCATCTGTGGTACCTGGAGTATGTTAACCAGAAGTAGGCCACTGTGACCTACTTTGGGAATTTGATGGCTTTTTCAGTTACTAATTGGCTTAGAATAATCAAACTTTGTCAGTTGATGCATTTTTGGTCCTCAAAGTGTGTCAACTAAAAAGTAGGTAACCATGTCCTATTTTTTGAATTTGATGGCTTTTTATGTTACTAATTGGCTTAGAATCATCAAACTTTGTCAGTTGATGCATCTTGAGTCTTTGGAGTGTATCAACCAAAAAGTAGGTCACTTTGACTTACTTTTGCAATATCATGGCTTTATTTGAATATTTCAGGTACTAATTGGCTTGGAATTATCAAAGGACAAGGTATGGTAATGGCCGAATTTGGCCCCTTATTTGATGTAAAAATCAGAACACAGTTAAAATTGTGATAGCTTGTCGTTAGGAACTTAAAATGATGCTTGTTTTAAAACCAGCACTAATTTTGATTTAAAGCTTACATGAAGGCCACAAGAGAATGCAGAAGTAGGACAATTTCCTGAATTTCCACAATTATGGTGGAATTTTGTCAAATTTGAGATACTTTTCACTTTGGGAAACATAGAGCACAAGCTTGCCTATCTGAGATTTTTATACATAAGATGCATCTGATGCTAGTGTATGAAATATATAAATTTGGCAGATAGGCAAGCTTGTGCTCTATGTTTTCTGAAATTAAATGTGTTGTAAAATCAATGAAAATCTGCATAAAAATGAGAAAACTTGGAAAATGGCATATTTTCTGACCTTCCTGTGACCTCTGTGTATCCCATAACTTAGAACCAATACTCATTTTGTGGCAGGGGTGACAACAGGTTTTGATTGATAAACTGTTGCATCATTCTAAAAGACACCCCAAACCAGGGGCCACTTTAGGAATTTGATGGCTATTTCAGATACTTATTGGCTTAGAGTCATCAAACTTTGTCAGTTGATGCATCTTCAATCCTCGGAGTGTATCAACCAAAAAGTAGGTCCCTGTGACCTACTTTTGCAACTTCATAGCTAAATTTAATTATTTCAGATTCTAATTGGCTGGGAATTATCAAAATTTGTCAATTGTTGCCATGCTGACCTACTTTGGAATTTCAAGGCTATATCCTTATAGGTTACCAAGAGGCTTAAAACAGATGAGATTAAGGTTGTACAATTTTCAGAAGGGTAATTCTAGTCCCTTGGGCCTCTTGTTAAATCTTTCCAGCCTTTCCTACCTCCTGTGGATTTCCGTCTGTGGCCAGGGGCTATTTGAAAGTTGTCTTTTATTGGTAGCAAAAGTTAGTAGATGTGACATTTCAATGGAGACAGTGTTTTGAGTCATAAGTTCCCATTCCAAATAATATCAGGAATTTCACATGAGAGGAGTGTTTTTTTGCTCATTAAAAACATAATGAAGACATGGTGTGAATTGATATTCATATATGTGCTCTAATACAACCATTTAAATATTCATTTTCAAGGTAATATTGGAGGTATTACTATCTGAAGAATCCTTTTAGTCCTCTTCCAGTGAAACCAGGGACTGTTAGATTCCTGTCCTTCTAACTGCCATTCAGTCTGTCAAACTTCATTTTCTGGTCCTTTTTTCCTAGATGCAGATACTGAGCTTAATTTTAGCTCAGCCAAAGTTTAACATAGAAATGCATAGGAAAAAACTTTAAAAATCTTCCTCATAAGAACAGCAAAACCATGATTAGTCATATTTATATGGAATCATCCTCAGGTACAATATTGTGTCATAAGTGATCGTCCAAAGTCGTGTGCATTGCATATTTTTAGCTCTTCTGAGCCAAAGGCTCCAAGAGCTAATGCTATGGCCATTTGTGCGGTGTGCGTAAACTTTTTAGAATATGGGCCATTATACTCAAGAACCCCTTGGCCAATTATTGTCAAATTTGTCACAGGGTATCCTTGGCTCAAGGGCTCCCTTTTATACTAAAACTGGGGTTGTGACCCTTTAACAAGGGGAGATAATTAGGAAAATAGAAACAAAAGTACTGGTTGCTAAAAAATCTTCTTCTCTAGAACCACTGGGCAGATTATCACCAAACTTACACAAAAGGATGAGGATATGTTGTAGATTAAAATTTGCACGGGGATTTACCCTGGGGCAAAGGGCGTGGTCTCAAGGTCACTTCAAAGTTGACCAAAAATTACATTTTATTAAAATGTTGATATTTTGCTTACTATAAGGACTAGGATCATCAAATCTAATCTCTATTGAGATTCTGCTGGGCTAGATATTTGGACTGACGCCCACAGAATCTCTAGACAACCACTCATAATTCATGTCTGGAAATCAAGCCCCAACTTCGGCCAACTATAGCAAGAATTATTCACCTAGACCACACTGCCGTTCGCTTCAATTAAGTCATTTGGTTGATTATTTGACTCTCTGTCACTATCATTTCCACATTGCTTACCGTTTAGGCATGTAAATCCCAACATAAAAATATTCACTGAAATCTCCGTTCGAAATATGGCTCCTTTGACGAAATTGTTTACCTCCTCACATAAAAGAGTTCCTATAGTCCGTTTTCTTTTATGTGATGTTCAATAGCCATAGTAGACATTAGTTCATAATCACATAGGGTAAAAACAAATCATCAAACTTTGTCAGTTGATGCATCTTGGGTCCTCTGAGTACAGCAACTGAAAAGTAGGTCACGGTGACCTACTTTTGAAATTTTATGGCTGTATTTAATATTTTCAGGAATTATTTGGCTTAGAATCGTCAAAATTTGTCAGTTGATGCATCTTTGGTCCTCGGAGTAGGTTGACTGACAAGTAGGTCACCGTGACCTACTTTTGAAAATTTATGGCTGTAAATTAAATATTTTGGGTACTTATTGGCTAGAATCATCAAACTTTGTCAGTTGATGCATCATGGGTCTTCGGAGTAGGTCGACTAAAAAGTAGGTCACATTGACCTTCTTTCGGAAAATTTATGGCTTTAATTAAATATTACAGGTACTAATTGGCTTAGAATCATCAAACTTTGTCAGTTGATGCATCTTGGGTCCTTGGAGTAAAACAATTGAAAAGTAGGTCACTTTGACCTACTTATAAAATTTTATGGTTATAATTTTAAATAATATTTTAGGTATTAATTGGCTTAGAATCATCAAACTTAGTTGATGGGTCCTCAGAGAATGACAAGTGATAAGTAGGTCACCATGACCAACTCTCAGGTACTAATTGGCTTAGAATCATCTTGGGTTCTCAGAGTGTGAATTGGAATTTCAAGGTTTTATCTAAATATACAGGATACTTTGAGGCTTCAAATAGAAGTGATAGGTTGTACAGTTTATCAGAAGAGCAATTCAAGGCCCATGGGCCTCTTGTTGGTGTTTTAGCATATCGTATATACTCGCCTATAAGTCGGTCCGCCTATAAGTCGGTTGTATTTTTTAAGCTTGAATTAGAGGGATTGACCCACTAAAATACCATTCTTTTTATATCTCGCGTATAAGTCGGATAAAGAGTTTTGAACCAAAGTTTAACTCCCACAAAACTGACTTATAAGCAAGTATATACGGTAACTTGATCTGCGTTCTATAAATAAACAAAGGTACTGTTGATGGTGAAAATGTTCACTATTTTAAGAATGTCCTCATGACTATCACAAGTTTATATGTCACAAAATTTTGTCTGCTGTGTATATTGTCAATGTAAACAATATACCTACTGCTCAGAGAGAGTTGAGTAATGATGTCAAAGAAGTAGTTGTTTCTTCAGACGGGACTGAAACAGCAAGAAATATCTCGTAGATTGGGAATACCCCAAACAACAATAACATTGGTGATAGATTGTTTTCGGAAGTGAGGTACTATAGAAAATATACCAAGTAAAGGGAAACAGTCAAAACTGGATGAAAGAGATGCATGACAACTTTTGAGGACAGTAAAAGAAAACAGAAAACGAAGTTTGTCTGATATCACTGCCTTATTTAACCAACAAAGAATCTACCCATGGGTACTGTTTCAAAACAAACTGTTCAGAGAACTTTGTATAAGCAGGGGTAT